TCAGCAACTCCAATCCATTCCCTCTATAATTCCACTCTAAAAGAATATTCTAAGCATATTCTTTTCTAATTTTATTAGTTTATTAAATAATCTCTACAAATTACATTTTAATGCATTATGCTTACTAAAATTTACATATCTATGAATATATATTAATTATTGATTAATAAGATTAATAAAATAAATTTAAATCAAAATCATAAAATTACACATTTCATAATAAAACCACGTGGATTACATCACAAACATTAATTTAACAAAAAAACATCAACACAAACATGAAGCATTCAATAAAATAAGAAATACGGAAAACAAAATACAACACTAGTTATTGCCATGAGAATATTTTTCCCACAAATGTGCAACCAATGCATTACGAAGTTCATAGTGGGCAGACTTATCCTTGATTTATTTATTAAATATAAATATTTTATATATTTATCAAAAATACATATAAAATGTGAATATATGCTCTAAACCATATATGGTCTAGTGTGAATTTGCACTAATTCATATATTTTCAAAAGTAACAGTTTTGATTCAATCGGTACATAGATGTATATGTATCTTCTTTAAGAAATTCAATTTATTACAATCATTTTTAAAATGTGAATATATGCTCTAAACCATATATGGTCTAGTGTGTAAATTTGCACTAGTTCATATATTTTCAAAAGTAATCTCTACAAAGAATATTCCAAGCATATTTTTTTTCTAATTTTATTAGTTTATTAAATAATCTCTACAAATTACATTTTAATGCATTATACTTGCTAAAATTTACATATCTATGAATATATATTAATTATTGATTAATAAGATTAATTAATAAATTTAAATTAAAATCATAAATCACAAAGTATTCAATTTATAAGTGAATTTAAATACTAATTAGTATTCTATCATATTAATTAATAAAGTATTCAATTTTTTATTACACTACTTAAAATTCTACCATATTAATTACAATAAATAAGTTCAAAACATTTATAAAAATATTTTAATTCAACTCATAAAACTAATTAATTCAATTAGCCCAATTGTAATTATAAAAGGCTCACCCACAATACATCTAAATAGCCCAAAATACAACCCAACTTCATTTTTTAACAAAAAAGAAAAAAAAAAAAAGATAAAATTTATAGCGTATGAACAGTGGAACGGTTGCCAAACCGTTCCACAAATCCCCGCAGCCGTTTCCTGCACAAATAGAGGGCTCCATTGGAGATGATTTTTCTCCAACCATGAAGTTTCCACTTGCTATAGAGGATGGGTTGGAGATGCTCTTATAGAGATGACTCTTTTGAGTCCAATCCATGCTGAAACAAATAATAGCACTAACAATTTTGTTAATGTACGTGCATAATAAAAGTACCATCATGTAATTACAAACTCATTATTAATTACGAACCAATTCATGCTGAAACCAAAATAGTTGCACGCAGCAAATATGATGTGATCCCTATATAAAACAGCAATAATTTGCATCACTAACACGTGTATTGAATTAATATACTGACGCGGATAAGGAAAAAATGGGTAAATTGGAAAGATTACTTTAATATAATATATCAACATAATGTAAAAAAAATGATTGTTGATTTTAAAATAACATGATATGCGACATAATATTATTATATTACATGTATATTATGTCATTATTTACATCACTTTTGTTTGTAGGGGTATTATTATCTCTTTTGTAACTGGCAGGGGTGTTACTCGAGACGAACCGAGTAGCTCCCATTCAAGCTCGTGCTTATTTAATAAACGAGTCGGCTTAGCTTGGCTCGTTTAAGCTCATAAAAGTTCTATTCTAGTCGGCTTGTTTAATTAGCAAAACTAAAAATATTAAACGAGTTGTTCGAAAACATAAAATGTCCATCTGTGAACAGTTTTTATTTGACTATTTTAATTAAAATCCATTATAATTCAATAAAAAAAAAAAAAGAAAATAAGTTGTTCACCAACTAGCTTGGCTCGGTTCGCTTAATAAACGAACTTGATTAGTTGTTCTAGCTTGGCAAGCTAAAAATAAATTGAGTTCGAACTTTCATGAGTCGAACCAAGCTCTCTTCACGAATTGTATGATTGGTTTAACAACTCTATTTGTAGGATTTTTTTACCCTAACAAAAAAATAAAAAATTAAAAAAAATATATGTGGACAAAATTTCAAAAGCTCGTATTCTGAGAATACGTTTTACATTGTAAAACGTATTCGTAAAACGTATTGTCGGAATACGTTTCAGTGTCAATTAAATTAATCACGTAATTAAGTTAATTTAATCAAGTTAAAATGTATTTCAAAAATACATTTTATAAATAAAATAAATTTTATAATTTATTTATCGCATAAAATAAATTA